AGAGCCTTTACTACATGAAAATGAAAATTAATGAATACACTGTGTACAGTAATTTACCTGATAAGACAGACCTCAGAAAAATACTTTATGAGAGCTTTTATACTTTTATAAAGTTGTCTATAATGAAAATTAATTAACTAAGGATTTTTTTGCCCTGCCAGGGTGTGGCCGAGTTATCCGGAGTGCTGGGTTATCGAAAGCCGAGTTTTCGAGGTTCTACTGTACCACTTTAGCTTCCTTGCAACATACGTGCCTTTGTCAAACAGTAGCCATGTGTAACTAGTTCGAATGTTTGGATATTTCTAAAATAGAAAAACTTTCTACATATGTGTTATATAGTAAAAGAAGGTGACAAATTATAGTTTCATCTTTTTCATCTCAAAAGCTAACAAGCTTTAAGGGTGAGAAAGATTATTAACTTATTTGCCACTATTAATTAATTTTTAAAATAATACTTTTGCACTTTTCTACAGCTAATTGAATTTGAAACATTTTTTATGTATCTTCTGTCATTTTATTCTGGAATAAAAAAAAAGTTAATTTTATGAATACTGTATAGTCTTCAAACATTCAGTAACATAATTATTGTATTGATTATAAAATATTTTTAACTTCATGAAGTTAAAATATTTCTTAATAAAATACCATAACTTAATTTTTACAAAAAATAAGCAAGCTGAACTTATAAATTCAACATTTTATGAAATTAATTTTCAATTAGAATTTTATTTTACTTTTTATTAGGCTATTGCAGTTCATCATGTTTCATCTGAAAGTTGGCAGGCTCTAGTGAAGCACTCACCAAGTATGTCACTTGTTATGTACATTTTTTTAAGCTTAGAAAATGCTCTAAACCAATTTTTTAATGTAAACATTCCCGTTACTCATTTATATTTTTGTAATTATGTTCCGCAATCAATATTAATTAAAGTGGCAAAACATTGCCCATGTTTGATGGAACTTGTTATTGGATCAAATGGAAATTCCATTATTGACCAAGAAATTTTGTCTGTGGCACGTGGTTGTCCCAAACTTGCATCTTTGGGTTTAGGAATGTGTGAGATATCATGTTCGGCAATACTTGAACTAGTTAAAATCTGTGGAACTCGTCTAAAGAAACTGTATGTCCTTGAAGAATCCATGATTGAAGACGAACAACATGATATTGCCAAAACCTGTTTTGAAGTATCTCATATTATCGGATATGAATGGTGTCCTGATGTAATGCCTGTTTGGTAGTGTTACAGTTGAAAAAGATTAAAACAAAACATTTTCATTCTTTACTAATTATATATAAGGTACTTTTGAATTGTGTAGCAGCACTTTTCATGTAAAGATAAATAATTCATGCTGTGGTTTTTATTTGAAATGATTAAAATATAGGATATAAAGAAAAATCACAAAGTTTGCAAATATCAGAAATTCAATTTCATGGAATACCACCATTCAAAAACTGGGTATACTTGAATTAAAACCTGTAAAATGTTAGCACTTATTTCTTTTACTCTGCTGGATATTTGGTTTTTTAGATGTTTTAATTTGTGTAAAGTGATCAAACTGTCTAATTGATAAATTTTTGTTAGCATGTTGACAATTTAGTAGTTTAAATACCAACATATATGCATTATCATCATCATTAATTTTTGTACAACAATGTTTGTCTAGACATGTCACAATGTTTATATGAAAAAAGTATTTCCGATCCTTTAACCATATATTGTAACAGTGAGAGACAACATGGTCTGAAATGAAGGACAAATGCTACTCTCTGAGGGACATAGTTTATAAATTTAAGAAATACAGAAGTCTCTTTGAAAACAGAAAAGCATTTCCATTCCTTCAAAAATATAAAACTATTTATACAGTACTTCCTTGTTATAGAGCAATGCAAGTCTTGGCTTTTTTTGAAATTTCATTTATTTATTTGTAGAACATTTATAGAACATGAATGCATTCATGTTCTATAAATCAAGAATTTTAGAACAGAAAATGTTGAAGACAAGGTCTTCAAACAAAATTTTGGCATAATATGTTTGATTTGATACCAAAAATAGTCTTAGATGACAAACGATTGCTGGATTACTAATTGCAGGACAAGGGACAAGGCACTGAATATGGGACTGTCTTTCTGGGAGCAAGACAGTTGACAACCATGCATTTCTAGACCATGTTTCTCATAAAAGCTTTTCATCTTTTTTGGTGTGAAAGATGTCTTTGAAAGTTTGATGAATATTTTGGGAATACATTATATTTTTTAATTTATTGTTAACTATAAAAAAATGAATTATTTTTGTAAGCAAATATTAAATTAATTGTAAAACTGAAAAATTTTTGTAATTAAGTTAAATTGAGTAAATACTTTTAAAATATCTACTTCTGTTATTTTATAATTTGTGCTGATATATAATAAAATACATGATGTAATAAATATACTATATAGCCAGGGTGGCCAAGCTCCTTGATAGTCCGAGCCATTTTTCACAATTTGAAATTTTTCACGAGCCGCAATTAAATACGTATTAAAAAGGTATGCAAAAAATTCCAGATTACAAATTATATTCGTAGCAAGAGTGATACAAATTGTTTCCTCCGGAGCACAATGTCAACTGTCCGTTGCAAAGACAGTTTACAAATTCAAAATCGGTCTGGAATCAGTCGATAACGGACGATTACGCCACTGTTTATGTTTATTCGCACAGTTTTCGATGAGTCATATCATTCTTAAATTAACTTGGACGAAAATGAAATTTGTTACAACGTTGCACTTAGTCTTTCATATTTGTTGTTAGTAATTTAAAAGACATTTTGAAACACATACGGAACGATAATAATTTTTAAAAATATAATAACTCAAAAATGAAAAGGGAACTCGGGTACATTTATCGAGAGCCACAAATAATCCTTCAAAGAGCCGCATGTGGCTCACGAGCTGCAGGTTGGCCACCCCTGCTATATAGTATATTTATAGCATTTTATTTTGTAGCTATAAATATATCTTTATATAGTAAAATTATAGAGTTAACAAAAATCACAAAGAAACAAGTTTCTTTCCATTCCAAATCTACTCAAAATCTCTTAGTTGAATAGAGAGAATAACCAATTTCTTTCCATTCTTCTAAGACACTTCATCTCAAAGAAATTTATCCTATTAATTGCCTTTTGGTTTATTGTCTGTCCATGACTCATCTGTATGTAACCACATTCCAAATCATTGCTTTAAGTATTTTTAGTTTGTTTTTTGCATACATTTCTATTTCTTAATACTGACGATATTTGTGTGAAAGCATCTTTAGCCTTTTTTATTCTGTTTTTAATTTCATAATTACATCTGTTATCCTCAGTTATCCAACTTCCTAGGTATTCAACTATCCTTTTACCTCTTCTTTCTATCCAACAATCTTTATATCTTTGTTTTCTTCTGTTGAGATTATCATAACTTTCGTTTTGTTCACATTTATGTTTATTTTTATTTGGTATCTTGCTTTTCCCACTTCTTTCAACCAATTTAGAATTTTCTGTAACCCCTCTTCGATGTTACATAGCAGAGCGATATTGTAGGCATACATAATGTTATTGATAAGATGTCCATTAATTTTTACACCTTTGTCTAGATTTTTGAATGCTTCTATCATTATCCATTCACTGTAGATGTTAGTGTTTGGGACAAACCACATCCACCTTATTCCTTTTTTTTAATCTGAATCCATTTGGCATCCTCTCCCTGAAATCTGACCATTGCTTTTTGACTTTTATAGATATTGATTAAAAAAATTAGAGAATAATCTACAACTATTTATTGCAGAATCTCGAACAACAGCCTATCTCAATATATTGGATATTTTAATATAAGTGGTAAATAAAAACATCTTTAAGTACAGTACTTTTGTAAGGTAGCCGACACAGTGGAGATACGGGACTTGGAAACCCACTCCTCGGCACCTGTGTAAGGTCACCAATTTTTAGGTGGGATCAATTTATCCCGCATCAGGATGAACCTCAGGGGCGGTTGTATGTGGGCTGTGATGGAGGAGGCAAATGATGACAAGTGTTTTTCACAAGAAAGCCGTTTATTTGTTAACATTTATGCTTACATCAACAATTGACAGTCCTTCAGAGAGACGAAGAGGTGAGAACTTTGGTGTTGATCGTAGCCCTGGGGTGGACAAGATGAGATCGCTGAGTAAAATGGACGATTGGGAATTGTGCGGTGGAGTTCTAAGTTGATGGCAATGACAACTCAATACAGATCACGACTTTTTGCAGATTACAGAGGAGACTCCTCTTCGACCTTGAAATTCTGATTTTTACAGTTTTTTCCCCCGCTATTCGCATTGGTCCCTCGTCCCATTCCTCGCCTCCCAATTGGTCTCTCCCTTGTCTCCAGGTGCAAGACAATTAATCTCTTTGGGTCGTGGGAAAGGTCCAATTTGAGGTGTCCATTTGATACCTCTTTGTCAACTCTGCCTGGTGATTGTTTATAAAACAATAACACCCATGCTCATAATTCAGGCTGTTGTTTATACCATTTTTTGACGTCTACGAATTTAATGATCATTTTCATCTATCAAAAATTTCCCTTTTTTTTTGTTCGAAAAGGTTTATCTTGGCCAACATTTTATAGACTCATGAGTCAATGATCTATTTATGAGCGCTCATGTTAGTTTGTCTTCCACTAAGACGTTGACAGATAGTTTGACATACTCAAACAGTTCCAAGTCTCATTGTTTACGTCTGGCGTCACATAAGAATTTTGAGATTTACTCAAGTTTGAACCTTGTTTGGGAACCCACACGTTTCATTGTCGACAGTTAAACATACTTCTTTGCTGTCAACTGTAAGCTTGAATTTAATTTACCATGGTGGTGGCCATCTTTAATCTTTTTTATCCAATCCAAACATTCCTACTCTTCATTTGTATTAATTTGATCCTAGATGGAGTTTGTGTACACAGATTACTCTGATCTGATCAATCTATCTTGGATCAGTTTAATTCAAAAAGTATATGCACCCAATGTAAACATGTTTGTCCAGAAACACAAAAATGCTTAATAGAATAATCATTCAGTTAATTGTTTTTAAATTGTGATATTTCATGCCTAGAATCGATCTTTTTTAAATGATAAATGTACTGCTCTTTACAATTGTTATATTTTTAAAATTTTGTCCCAAAGGTAAAAAAATTTATATAGAATCATACTATACACTCTCTTTTAATTTATCAAAAAGCTGTTTATTACATCAGCTAGTTGGAGAAATCCATCAGCCAGTTGGAGAAATCCATCAGCCATCAAATAAAACAAAAAAAAGCAAGTTCGAATGGCAGTTACAGTATCTAGGTTACACATCTAGAAGTTTAGTCGTAACCCTATCACGACTATTTTTAGTCATAAGTGGTTCCTGCACTTAATACAAATTTTCTGATTAGTTTATTCAATAGATGAATGTTATTTGGATTAAAATTTCAGAGTTTATGGAATACATATCAAAATTTGAGTTAACCAGTTTGAATTGATATGTAAATTCCCATGCTAAATGATCGGGGAAAGAAAATGACGGAATTAACAAAGTTCCTTAGTAAAGTCTTTGCATAATAAAGGCAGTTTATTTGTAATTTAAAGTGTTATTTCAATCAATGAACTGAAAGCTAATCATAATCTTAATATCAATATTCCATCCAACTTTCAAAGAAACACACTGTTCAACTGAACATGTTTAAAAGTTTTGCCTTTCTTGTTTTGAAATTAAGCACTTACTCTAAAAATCAACAAACATATTCCATCTACCATTACCTTATATTATACCATTTCAAATGTTCTTCAATCCTAACTTTGTCTTCACGAGATGATATTTTCTTGTGATGCATCCAAAAATATTATTTATATAATTATTTTTAGTTTTCCCCACAGAAAGCTTTTTAAAATTCAGTAGTATCAAAATTTTTATCAAATTTTAAAATAATTTTCATCTGTATTCAAAATCTGATGATGAACCATAATCTAACATATCCAAGAAAAGAAACAAAATTTCAATTTGCAATAGCCCTGCAATGACATTACTTTTTGAACATTTAATATAGTATATAAAAATACTTATGTACTGTATAGAATTGTTTTTATAGAACAATAATCTCCTACAATTTTATCTAATTATCAACACTATATGGGTATCCCTTGATTAACGCAGTTAATTAATCCCTCAATACTATCACATATATTGAAATACAGTTAAGTAAAGACAGCTGTTAAAACTGCATTAATCAAAACTTCTGCCACATATATAAAGGGATTGCTACAATTAATTTCGCACCTCAATCAAATCCAATGTTAAACAAAGGATACCTGTATTAACTTATGTATTGTTGTAATAATCTAATCTTTTTTGAAGTCATAAATTTGAAATATTTTGAACTGAAATCTCATTTGAAATATTTTCTCCATAGATAGTCAAATTTTGAGAAAAATGATATTTAATAATTTTAGCTTTTCCCATTATATAATTATTTTTATGGCAAAGAAAAATCTTAGTTTTTCTAATGTTTTAGATGAAAACTTCAGTTTTGTTCATCAATTAAGAAAGTTACTAAATGTATATTAATCTTAAATTCTTATAATTAAGCAGTTTATAAAATGTATTCTATTTGATATTCTTATTTTAAATATTATATTTGATTCCATTTATAAAATAAAAAGATGAAATTTTTTTAATGGTCAAATTTAATACTTTGTGACTAATTTATTTCTAATCTAAAAGGTTATTATTGCATGTATTCTGTTACAAAATTAATATATAATTTAATATATACATATAACAGATGAATAATCATGCACAATTCTAAATATGTCTGATTCTAAAATATTGACAAAAGTAATTTAGTTTTTTGACATACACAAGAATGTAAATCCTTCACTTGAACTATTAGTAACAATACAGCATAAATAAAATTCAGGTACATTTTATTTTATTGAAAAACTGAGAATCTTACCTAAACAAAAATAGAATTGATTTAAATGAATTAATTTTTTAAAATATATTTAAAAATAAAAAATGGCTCTATAATGAAAACAAAATTTCAACTAACCAACTCTTCTACACTTTGTTGTATATTTGGCAAAGGTAATGGCATTTTATTCACTAATAAATTTTTCTAAAACTTAAAATCATTGAATAATTAATACAAAATAAATTGTTTTTTGTTTTTACTAAAAATATACAATTAAATATTTTTTACACTGATAATTTCTCTCTCTTTTTTTTTTATAAAATACAGAGAAAAATCCCAAAATTTTCATTAATTTAAATCAAGTATTTTAGAAAGGAAAACAGATCAATTCAACAGATGCATGAGACTATTTAAGAATTTTGACACTTCAGTTGAAATTTTGGACAGCACCAAACATTGAATTACGTCACATCAATTTAAATGTAAAAAGTTTAAGGTAAACAACTGAAGAATTTAAAAATGGAATGTTATTGATTAAATATTTAAAAACAAACGGGATCATAAATTTTTTCCAAAAGAACACGATAGATTATATATATCATTGACCATAAAACCGTTACATACAAGCATGCATTAAGGAAAAGACATTCACATACATCTCTTATACTTAAAAATATACTGATGATCATCATGTGAGCAGATATGATATTGATGAAAATGAAATTGTTGAGGCAAACGAGTTCTTGTTCTTTCACATTCACTCTTAATTCATTTATATACTTCCATTCCATATTAATCTGGCCTCAACATGAACTATAATTTACACAAAATTTTAAAAATATCCATAGACTATCAATCATCACGGTAGACTTGCAGGAGGTGTCATCAATGACACAGAATGAAACCTATGAAAAGATTAAATAAAGTATAAAATTATTTTTGTATTAAATTATAAATTCAGTATAATTATTATAATAATTCAATGTCAAAACTAAATATGAACTTTACTGTTCAATGCAATTAGATTTTATAATAATTTAAAGTTATTATGATCTTTCTCTCTTAATTTATTAAAAATTTTTGAATGAAATTTTTTAGAGAGAAAAACGATAAAAAATTAAATTAGCATTATTATTTTTATTTTACAGTTGTATTTGAAATTTTCCATAGTGGTTCAATAATAGTATCTAAATATTAATAATAAAATGAATACTTATCAATTAGAAGTAAAACTTAGTGAAATATATCCTTAATTAAGGTTGATTAAATACAATGAATATTCATAAAGTACAGATACAAAGTCCAGAAAATATTTCTAAAGCATTTTATTATTAGATTGACTTAATACTTTTAAAACATGTTTTTGTTTATTTTTCAACATAGTCACTAAGGACCTCAATATATTTGGCAAACTCCTTGATGCTGATAGCATAGAAATCTCCTGACTGCTCTTGTAACCATGTCATCACTTCTTAAACCTTTACATCATCAAACTTCTTTCCAGAGAGATGTTCCTTTGATTTTAGAAACAAGTGATAAGTGCTTGGTGTGAGAGCTGGACTGAGTGGTGGATATTCCAAAACTTTTCACTTGAATGTCTGCAACAACTCTTGTGTGACATGAGCAGTGTACAGACAGGTGTTATTATACAGTAATCACCATTTTGTTATGTTTTGCCTGTTCATACTGTCTTTGATACAAACAGAAACCAGAATTTCAGCAGCAGTTTCTCCTTTCACGCAAAGGAATCAAATCACTGAATAAATCTTGCACTTGGCAGGATTACAAATTCACACTGCTATTTTAAACACACACACTACAAGCATAACAATGTTGCAATTAAAACTCAGATGACTTCTGTCACATGAATTAGACCCTAACATAAGTGGCAATGCAGGAAGCTGAAAAAATAATTTTCTTTGGATTTCTACTGGTCCTGTATCTTTACTTTCCAAATATATTTCATATAACCATTCACAAACAAAACCAAACTATACAATTTTCACATTATTGAGCCAGCTTATTTGAGACACAACAGAAATACAGTATAAAAATTGAAATTTTTAGTTCATAACTTATTATATGTGCAAAAACATTCTGTAAAATCATAATTTAATATGTAAATTCTCATAATTTATATTATTTTTAGTTTCACATAACTACTAAATACATGATGTGTCTGAAAAATTTTCAAACTTTCAAAACAGCATGCCATGTCCAATAGATGTGTAGGAACATATCAGATTGATCTCCATGAGAAAGGAGTGTATGTATGAAATTTTGTGTAATAAAATATTCACACAGAGATACTTGAAAATGTTTAAACAAACATTTAGTAGTGAAGGCATGAGCTAAACTCAAACAAACATACAAGTGGCACAAACATTTTAAAGATGAATATTGAAGATGACTCACATTTTCTATTATCATCAATGTTAACAAATGATTAACATAACTACAAAAATTGTCAACAAAGAATACTGAGGTGCAGCATCTGCAAGAGGCAGAGAGAAAAATGAAAGACCAAATTCATAGAGTAGAAATGTATCATGATAACATACTAGTACATTTGTTGTTGGTTGCGACTTGTTTAAAAACTCATCCCACAACTTGTGTACTCAATAGGTACCTGAAAATTTTGCTTGCTAAAGTGAAAACCATATTGACCTTTCAACATTTTGAGTACATTGAGGATATCAAAACAAATTTGCTAGTAGAGCTATACACTATTCTAAAAGATTTCCAGGAGTATACAAAAGTGAAAGAACTGCTGGAAGCAGTACATTAGGAGTTGAGAAGACTACTTTGAAGGCAAAATATCTAATAACTCCTACATGAATAAGTTTATTTATTATTTTTTATTAAAACAGTTCAGAAACTTTTTGGGTGTAACTCATATTTTAGGATTAAAATTCAAATGTAAAAAGGAACAATCTAGTATTGATAGAACATTTTTTTAAAACTTATTTATTTACAAAATTGAATCTAATAGTATGAAGCACTAATTCTTTTTATAATGATATTTTTCATTCAAAAGACTTATGTAAAATTATATATCTATCATCAAATTTAAAACCAAAGTTCTTAAAATTTAAAACTTTATAAACAACAAATTTTGCTTTGTTTAATATTTTCAGATAGACTAAAATTTACATAAGAATAAAAGAAATTTTAAAAATTTCATTTCCAATCCCTTTTCTACTTTAACAATAATTCAAGTGTAATAATTTTATTCAAATTTGCAAAAATTTCAATTACATACATAATATACTAATATAAGCCTCTTTGAGCAGAAAATGTCGAAGCAACAATTTCATTTAGTTTCAGATATGCGAAGTTGTGAGTTTTAAAGATAATCTTATAAATCTCAAGAAGGGAAAATAGCATAATTTCATATTTTGGCACTTCATTATTTTGATTTTACTATTTGGACAACTTTTAGCATTATTTTTGAAACACGCCCTTTCTATACCGGTAATAACAAAACATGCTATTACGAATATAGAAGGGTTTGTTCCCAATGATTTTAGCCAATGTAGGAAAGGGAAAAACAATGATGTGTCAATCTAACAATCACAAAAAATCACGAGAACCAGATAGTTTTCGAGCCCTGCTTTTTAGTAAATTATCCCTTAACCATGAAGTCATTCAATGAATTAGTTGGAAATATAATATTTGAAAAAAGATATTCTTAAATTGACTGTCTGCATTATTGTGATAATTTATCTTAAAAAATAGATGCTTTCTTAAACTTATTAAAGTAATCTTAAAGAGTCAATTCAATAAGAAAGAAAAAAAAAATCCAGCACGAGCTTAACTTTTCCAGCAANTTCCATTACTGCTTGTTGAGGATAGGAGGGAGCATTAGTAAAGCTTTTATATAAAGATTTAATACAGTCATTAAAATCACTAAGTTGAAGTCCAGTATATCTCTGTAATTCTTCATTCTAAAAAATTATAATAAACCAGAATTTGAAATTTAGCAACAATGTATACTTAAAAAAAGTTAGACAATAAGAAAAAAAAAACATACCCAAGGTTTTCTCCCTAATGTGTGATTTGCAAGTGATAATGCTGAAGCAGCTATCTCACTTGGTAAATATTGCAAGTAAGGATCAGCTTCCAAAAGAGAAAGTTCACAAAGGTACTACAAACAATTGCATAAATTTTATAATTATACCATAAATACGTAAAAAATCAAAACATAACAAGAAAAACAAAATAGTATTGCTCTTGATGAATAATTTTTAAAAAATACCAGATAATCTTATTAAATTATCCCTTTAATGCTTCAGAAAGCACTTGTAGAAAAACAGGAAACAAATATACCAATCACACTACACCTTACACACTTTTCCATAACCTCAGGTTAAAAACATATTAAAATACAAATTAGAGAAAAGAACAGAGTTCTAATGGTAGAACTATAACTGCTATTTTTAAATTTACAAAATTCAAAAACAAACAATTTATGTATTTTTAAAATAAAATAATTACACATGACACATGTTATTAACAAAAATTTTTTAAGTTGAGCCTATGCTGTTCTCTTGCCTCATTGGATTATCAACTAAAGAGTGCCATGCTTTGGATAATGTGACATGAGCAGTGTACAGACAGGTGTTATTATNTGCTTTGGATAATGTTTCTTTCTCCTTGAAATTAATGCATTCACTCTTTCTAGATGCTGGGAATATTTCAAAGGGTACATTTACTTCTGAGCTAATAGTGCTACTTCTGAACACTGGAAGAGACGTCATTAGCAAGTGTATTCATGCTTACATGTCCAGTTTGAAAGTAAACACAAACACTAACAAGAAATATGGCAGTTTCCTGCAAATAATATTGTCAAAGCTGCTATTTTAAATGCTACATTACATTTAGAACTACTTGATTCCAAATCAGACAAGGATGATCTTATTGTGAATATAATTGTAGAAAAAATGAAAAAAGAAAACTAAGGTCAAATAAAAAAGATAGAAACTTTTATTGAAGAGACTGTACCTTTTTATAATCCAACAATTTTAAACAGCAACTTAGACTTACAAGAGAATCTTTTGAAAGTCTCCTTTAAAAAATAAGTCCAATTTTAGACACAGAAAAATTACTTCTTCTGGAAGATGACCTGTCTCCCCTCAAAAGCAGCTTTTATGCTGCCTATGGGCATTGGCAAATCAAGAATCATTCATGTTTGTTTATACGAAGCAATATATGAAATCAGATGCAGTATATAAGAGAATAGCAGATTATACATATATATAATACATATTTAATCCCAGTGAATGGATGTGACGTTGCTCTTTTATGGTGTAACTAAACTGAGTTTAAAATTAACAAATAATTGACATTAAATACAAAATATTTCTTCTTTCTCTCTTTTCTCTAAGGGTATTAGTGATCGTTTTAATATGTCTAGACAGACTGCATGGAATATTTTAAGGTTGGTAATAAGGTTGGGAATAAGGTTGTTAATTCTCCATCACAGAGCAGGATGTAAGAACAATGGAATTTTTTATACCCAATCAGGTTTTCCTGGAATTAGAGGCTTCTATTGATGAAAAGCATATGGCTATTAAGACATCAACTGAAGAAGCAGCAGCTTATTTCAATAGAAATAAGTATTACTCTGTCATCATACAAGTTTAGTTTGTAATGAGAAAATGGTATTCAAATAATACAATTTCTTGAGAAGTCATTTCCCATATGTAAGTAAAAATTCATTCAAGTATACGAACTTATGTAGTTTTGGATTATTATTAATTAATTAATGCTGTTCATTTCTTTACGATTTATTTAATGCTCTGAACATAACATTTCTGAAAATTCCAAACACATATAAAGTAAACTTCACTTTTAATCATAAACAATCAGTCAAACTTAATTTTTTTCACATCTGTTTATGAAAAAAGTCATCTAAAGTTATTGAACCTTACACAATAAAAAAGATCATTGTAAACATTTTATACAACAAATAATTGAAATTTAGCAATAAAAATACTTTCTGCCATTTATTTTTCCAAAAATAATTCCATTTTCATTACTTTGTAGAGAAAGTAATTTTTTCATGGGAGCAGTCATATTGAATTAGCGCAAAGCTCAACAACGAACTTGTGAGGCCCCGGAAATAGCCCCACAAAACGGAAAGATGTAAGAAAAAAAAAGTTTGTTAAGTTAAATCGTCAAGAAAGCAAATCATATAAGTATCGAATCGGCGATACCGGACTTTGACGTCAGCGCTCATAGAGAATAACGGGAAAACAAAATTTTAGATATAAAAGAAGAAAATTTAAAATATTAAAGTTAAGACGCAGTTTAGAAAGCAAAACAAAACTAGAAAAAAAAATATCAAAAAGCGTAGGTGTCATAGTCAACAATTAAATGCGATCAGAGTCGAAAATGATGGTGTCGGATAAACCATCTCCAGCCGACCTTTCTCGCGAACCTTACACTTACTTTGATGATTTATATTTTTCCATTACTGCTTGTTGAGGATAGGAGGGAGCATTAGTAAAGCTTTTATATAAAGATTTAATACAGTCATTAAAATCACTAAGTTGAAGTCCAGTATATCTCTGTAATTCTTCATTCTAAAAAATTATAAGAAACCAGAATTTGAAATTTAGCAACAATGTATACTTAAAAAAAGTTAGACNATATTAAAGTTAAGACGCAGTTTAGAAAGCAAAACAAAACTAGAAAAAAAAATATCAAAAAGCGTAGGTGTCATAGTCAACAATTAAATGCGATCAGAGTCGAAAATGATGGTGTCGGATAAACCATCTCCAGCCGACCTTTCTCGCGAACCTTACGAAGCTCCATTTACACCTGGAGACAGGTAGATGACCAAATTGAAAAACAGTGATGTAAGATCTATCCAATTAGTAAGAAGCTGATTGCAAAAACCCTATAAAAATGCAAAATTCAAGGACAACTGGACTTCCACCAAGACTCCCACCTAGTCTTCTGTTGTGTTTGTATATCTCCGCTTATTTTTGTGCCTCTGTTCATCTTTTGGTGCACCGACTTTAGAGACTTTGAACTTTTTTCTCTCAACACTGTCCAGGGGCCCTGACGATGCTAGACCAGATCGCCGCCGCAATTACCGACGACGCAAGACTGGTACCAGAATCGAAATTTCCCAATAACACAGGACTTTGTGAATGAGAGACTTTATGTAAGCATTATCGTCCGGAATAAATGGTTTACCTTTGTAAAACACTTGTCTTTGCTACCTTTAAAAACCGCCACCCACATACGCGTAGACCTTAGACCATCCCAACGGTAGGGAATAAAAATCTCCCCCCCAACCAGTGTTCTTACAAACTAGCTAGCACTCCAAGCTTACCAATTTTGTTAAACATGACGTCACAAAGCTCTAAAGTAAATGCCAATGAACGTGGTGTTCGGACAAAAGTATACAGGCTGAGCATGCTAACTTCCATTGATTGTAACTTGTTGATGTAAAACACCTTTTTTAATAATTTAACCTGATCCTAACATGCTGACACCCTTGGTTCATTTGCAAACTGGGCAAATGCTACGGACAGACTATTTGTACAAACATTATATTTATGGTCCCCGAGCCTTTTGGTTAACAATCTTTCAGTAGCACTAATATATGTTAACTTTCGAGCAAATGTAAGAATGCCGATTGGGGGAGATTTTATTCCCTACCGTCGGGATGGTCTAAGGTCTAAGTATATGTGGGTGGCGGTTTTAAGAGGCAGCAAAAGACAAGTGTTTTACAGAGGCAAACTGTTTATTCTTGATCAAAATTTCTTACATATTTTTAGAAAGAGGTCCTTCGATCCAAAACTTGAAGGTGTCTTCGGTCCTATCGATTGGATAACTGATGTTTTTCTTTGGTAAAGCTGAAGAGGAGCCCCAGGGCAATGGCGAGTTAAAGTTCAGAGGCAAACAGTCACAAGATAGTGGCGATCGGAAGCACCAAGGGAGAAGGACGACGAACACAACAGGTGTCTAGCAGAAATCTTAGAAGCCTTGTTGTCCTTGAAATTGGTATTTTTATAAGTTTTTCGAAATCGGCTTGTTGCTAATTGGATAGATCTCACATCATCGTTTTCTAATTGGTCTTCCACCTGTCTCCAGGTGTAAATGGAGCTTCATAAAGTTTGTGGGAAAGGTCGGCTGGAGATGGTTTATCTGACACCATCTTTTAGACTCTGATCACGTTTAATTATTGACTATGACACCTACGCTCATTTTAATATTTTCTTTTAGTTTCGTTTTGCTTTCTAAACTGTGTCTTAACTTTAATAATTTTAAATTTTCTTTATCTAAAATTTTGTTTTTCCTTCTACTCTTTATGAGCGTTGATGTCAAAGTCCAGTGTCGCTGTTTCAACACACACATAATTTGTTTTCTTGACAATTTAACTTAAATTTTTACACATCTTTTCTTTTTTCGGGCAGAGACTAATTGTTCATTCAACGACAAACGTTTTCTTAACCCCTTCTGGGCTCTTCTTCAGATGAAAAGCTGGATAGAATGCCAAACAATGAACAACGAAATTTGAATAAATCCGAACTCTGTTGAATTTGAATCGTTCAGTTTGTTTGAAGCGAACAAACTGAACGATTCAAATTCAACAGAGTTCGGATTTATTCAAATTTCGTTGTTCATTGTTTGGCATTCTATCCAGCTTTTCATCTGAAGAAGAGCCCAGAAGGGGTTAAGAAAACGTTTGTCGTTGAATGAACAATTAGATACGCATCGGTTATAGGTTTGGTACGTCATATTTACTTTATACATCCCGGTGAGCAGTTGCTGTTATATAATTAACAAAAATAACATTTGAACTTGGCATCATATTCAAAAACATGAGGAAAAGGCTTAATTCAGGAAACCAAATTAAATTTTTATTCGGAAACAGTGGCTACGAGTCTGCGCTTAACATTATACTATTATGTTTAATTCAATTTGTTTAATTTTCCCCTGTTTTAATTTATTTTGATTTTACTTCATTTCATTAATTTTTTTATAATTATAACTTTCTTGTAATTTAAATTTGAAAAATTCAAACAGAAATGTTCTCTCTTTAAATGTATTCATTATAATGCACTTAATTTTCAAAGCTGATGACCTTATAAAACAGTAGTTCTTAACCTTTTTGAAGTCACAGAACACTTTTGAATTTAAGAAAAATTTGCAGAACAGCAAAATCACTAAGATCATAAAATAACAACAAAAATATGCATGAACATATCTTTTTATTAAAAATTTTAGATTATAGAATAAATAAAAGTAAAAAGACATTAATTTAAAAAATTGTATTTGTAAAAAGTGTAACTAAAATAACTTTATAAAAAATATTGGATAAATATGCCATTTTAGAAAACCAAATATTTTATAAAAGAATTTGTACTTTCATTTCAGAAAAAAGCCAATAATTAATTCTTAAGTTATAAAAAATGGGCATATTACATTACCCCTGAAGAACCATATTACTTCTGTGTGCAAAAATAAAGTTATATACTGAGCTCCATAGATATACAATTTTTTTTTTAAAGATCATGCTTTTTATGATCTCACCTTGATGTAAGAAGGTGATTCAAAAAGTAAGGTAACAATAGCTCTCATGGGTGTCATATTCCTCCTCTTGTTTGAATTTCCCATTAGGGCAGCAACAGAAGACCACAGGCGATGGTGCAAATGTTGCATCAGACTCTTGCAATATCATTTTGAAAATGGCTGCACTCACAGAAACGTGGTCAAATGTGGAAGTGCATAGCGTGATTCAGTCTGAAGGGCAACTCATCACTAAAAAGTCATCATCAACTTGTTGAGGTGTACAGTGGTAATGTCATGTCACAGAAACAGGTGTGGGTTTGGTGCACCGAGTTTGATGAAAGCAGAACAGATGTGCAAACTGAATTGTTATGGTGCTTCAAGTGGGAAGTATTGGAACATCCTCCTTATAGCTCCAACCTGGCACCCTGTGATTTACATCTCTTTGGACCATTGAAGAAGCATCCGGGTGGTAGGCGATTCCAAACCAATATGGAAGTTCAGCAAACCGTCATGGTATGGTCAGCAAACCGACTCTATGCAGATTTCTTCTCTGCCAGCATCGATGCCTTGGTATATTAGAATAAATGTTTGGACAAGCACGGTGACTATGTTGAAAAATTATATATACCAGTGCCATAATAATCTGTATCACTATATCTGCCCGTGAAATAAAATTCGTACAGGAGAGCTCTTGCTACCTTACTTTTTGAATCATCCTCATAATATAACAGATTTACAACTTGGTCTAGTATAGGTTTTAACATTGCCAGTAATGTTTTTGAAACTAGGGATTCTCTATGCAAAGAACATTGCTTAAATACATTATACGAGTTTCTTATCTTTGCAAAGGTAACAAAGATAGTTCACTGAAAAATGCAAGTTAAACCTTGTCTGGGTTATAAGCTGCGAATTTATGCTAAAGTTTGTCTAATCATAGTTTCAGCTAGTACACTGCTTTCATAATTTTGCAAAACATTAGTGTTCCAAAGAACACCAGTTAAGAACCACTTTTATAAAAAGTGAAAATGATTTTCAATAAAAATTTAATTTGGTTTCCTGGATTAATCATTTTTTCCTCTTCTTTTTTTAAAACAATGTTAGTTTGAATCTGGCCCACCAGTGACTAAAACCACTGAATACTGGTAATTGGTCTAGTGCTGAGATGCAAACCTCACCAACGGACTTTCTAGATTTTCTTCATGTGTGTAGCACCTAAATAGGGGCAATTTTTCCCTAAAAGTTATCCAGAAGGCATTTCCCCTTGATAGATCCACTCATGTTTTGCATTGCCTTAAACTATCAATCCAATCCTACTCTAATTGGAGCATGTTATAGAACTACTGGCATGTAAATAATTTTTAAAATACACTACTACCCCTGCCACTAGAGTTGTAGTGTAACATGTTTTCCTTGTCAGGAGAAATTTTAACACAGATGATGCAGAATGTTGAATGAAGAATTTGAGAAACTTGTATTCTTAGACATCAGTTAAAAAAAGTATTAAATAATAAGGATGAAATTAAAACATAGGCCTAACTGTTATTTTAATCCTGTCTAATTACAAGCCAACTAATGCCATATGTTATTGGGCTAGATATCAGCTATAATACTAATAAATTATGAAACAATTTAGTACTAGAGAAAGACGTTAGGTGCCATCTCTTAAAAAATTTAATAATTATAATTTTTAATTAAATAATTTAGACTACTGGAAGAAAAGAAATTGGCCCAGAAAGGGACTCGAATCAGCAACTCCTGCTTACTGGCAGATGCATTGCCAATTACACTACCTTGACCTCCGATCCAATCTCCTCTTCCAGTATATATAACATTATGTTGCAACCATCAACGGTTATCACAATGCTGGCTGAGGACGCATCCAGCACCCACATCCTATAAACTCCCCCTAAGGCACTCAATCGGCCATCACAAACCAATTATGTAACCTGGACCTCCAGTCCGGATAGCATAATTGGCAATAAATCTGCACAGTAAGCAGGAGTTGTGGGTTTGAGTCCCTCTCTGGGTTAATTCTTTTCTTCCAGTAGTCTAAATTATTTAATTAAAAATTATAATTATTAAATTTATTAAGAGATGGCGCCTAACGTCTCCCTCTAGTACCAAATTGTTTCATAATTTATTATTATTATAACCAATATCTAGCCCGATAACATACAGCATTAGTTGGCTTGTAGTTTATAACGTATTGGGTTGTAATGTTTGTTTATCCTGTCTAATGTTTTGTTTTTCTATTTCTGAATAGTTTAAAATGTAGTTAACTAGTAGTTTTACTACTTTTATAAAAACAAAGTATCAATATCTACATAGTTAACTAATTTTTATGTAGTTAGTTTCCATCATCACCACTATGGTACTTTTGGCATTACAAGCAACAGCATTTTATTTTACAGGACACTCACGTTAACAGAAACTTGCAATGCAAGGAATACTGCTCAATGTGGTTCCTATTCTGAGGTGTAAAACTGAAGACAATGGGCAGTGTTAAATAACCAATTGTAATTGATTTGCTGTGATGCTTCTCACACAGAATCAAACTATCCTGCATTAAATTGGTTAACTCACAGCATGGTCACTGTTAAATGTCATTCTTATCAGTTTATGGCCATTTTGATACTAAAAACAAGCACATATTCTCTTTAAACGCAAAGGCTTCTACAAAACTTTGGAGGGAGCTTTAGCTCCAAATTTTGGTAAAAGCCTACTGCCAATAACAAAGTGTGGAAGGCAGGCCAAAGTGATTAAAATGTCATCTATGGTCACTGCTAGATAAAATTTGAGGAATGAACCCACTGAAAAAAAATTCTGGCTATGGATCCAAATTTCATTGAATGCCATAGATTCAAAAGCATAGGTAGTCTTTCTGCACTCCTTCTACTACACTACTATACTTTTGGTTATGCATTTTCTTTGTTTTGATTCACATTTACCCCAAACAGATTAAGGAATGGCTTCAAGAGCACTCAAGCTCATACCTCTATCTGGCCTGGGAATAGTCCAGATCTTATCATCAAATATATTGGTGCAAAATGGACATGGAAGTAAGGAAAAAGAAATCATCCACCTTATAAGAGTTACATCAAATATTAATTCACATGTGATACCATAACCTGTCTCTGGAATGTATTCAAAATTTCTGCTTATCAAAGCCAATGTGCTACTTTCATTAAAGCAAAAGGTGGAACAACAAAATATTAGAGTGGCAAAATTATTATAATGTACACCTCTGAATATCAGGAAAACACATTTCTTGCACACATATATCAATGAAATTTACTGCTGTATATGCTTCTGTTCATTGCCAGTTTATCATGCAGTATTTTTTGCATTAAGTTAGATATTTCTTAGAAAACTTCACAAATAGACATTCCTATATAAATAATTTTGTACATTACTGCATTACCCTCCTCTTTCATTGATCTGCACTTTAAATGTTTAACTGCCCTTTTCCTCCATCAAAGTCATGGAAATGAGAGTAATGAAAATTTTTTTTGAGCACCATTCTATGTATTCATTTTCTATAAACAATCTACAACTGATATCAACTTTTTGTAGACTTTTTTTGTGTATTCATTTATATTATATATAAAACTATATATGAAGAATTCAAATATAAATGTCAAGAAATTTTTAAAAAATTTTTGACAAACTTAGCAGTAATTGAGAAACCATGGCTTTTTATAACTGAAACCAAAACATTTAACATCTTCTAAATAAAAATATCTTGACAGCTTAAATTCATGAGTTAATGCACAAATGATTAAAAAAACCGAAAATGACAATTTATAAAATATGAAAAACTGAATCAAAATGAAATAAATAGAATTTGGTAATAAACTTATTTTATGCTTGATTTATCTGACTACATTTCTGGTTTTAATGTATAAATTTTGCTTAAGTCATATCAAATGCATTTATCCGTGATTTATGTTTAAAAAAGTCATACCTTTTTGATATCAATATCAAAAATGATCATCCCATTTGAAAAATGCTTTCTTTAAGAAATGGCATAGTGTGAATACATTATAGATTTCTTCACATGTTATAGCAAATAACAACATATGACAATAAGCTTGGACAACAAGTTTTAGAAACTAATATGAGAAACAGTAATAATATACAGACTTTAAAAAAATTAAAAAGTTTTGTTTAAACTATAATCAGTATTTCATTTTAAACATTAGATTTTACAAAAATAAAACAATAATTAAATAAATAAAATATTTTTGAAATTTTATCATGATATAATACAAAATTTAATTAATTAAAATTATAAATTAAATAAAAATTAAAATTTCAATTCTTACTTGAGCTAAATGTTCTGTAATTTGTGGAATATTTCCAATACAACAAAATAAATGAAGAAAATATGAAGCTGTTGGTACTGCTAAATCAAATGACAATACTTTAAGAATTAAATGCTCCATCCGTAAGACTTGTTTTTTGGTATAAGTGTCATCAGTTATATAAACAAATTCTCCAATATCAGGAGGATATATTTCTTCATATTTTCTATAAAGCAATTTAAATATAAAATACTAAGCTATTTTTTAATAAACTAAAAAAGAAATTTAAAATAAATTGTGTGTCAAATTATTAACACTCAAAGTATATTCAAAAATTATTAAAATTGGACAAAAGATATTAAAAAAATTAATTTTCCTTATCACAGCAATTTTTTCTGAATTATCAAAAAGTTCTATAAATTAAAATTATCTTTTTAAATATTTTACAATTATTTTATCATATAAAAACAAAAAGTTGGAAAAAACCCCAAACCAATACTTATCACACTTTTCCAGCAATAGGTTTATTCAGAATATGAAAAAACAAATGGTTTCACTTCATTTTATAAACCTGCTTCAGGTTCAGCTTTCAAATTCTACAAAGGAATGTTTACATGTATTTCATAATATTAATGTTTAAAATTTAAAATGTTTGAAATTTTACATACTAACATTATGGAGCATGTATAAACATTCCTTTGTAGAATTTCAAAACTGTTTCGAAAGATAAACCTGAAGCAGATTTACAAAATAAAATGAAAACATTTGTTTGTTCCTATTCTGAATAAAGCTATCACTAAAAAAGTGTGAAAAATATTGATTTTAAATTATTTTATCACTAGTTATCATTATCAATTTGTAGAGATCATGTAATCCCTTTATATTTCACTTTCAATTTTTACTGTAAAAAATTTGCACAGTTGTCCTTCATTACATACAATCTTACTTTATATGTTTTCATATATGTTTGGGACTAGCAGCATACAGCTTAAAATATTACAAGTTTCAGGAAGTAACACACTCAGTGCCAAACAAGTTGTTCTTGACTTTAATATAATTAAGAGTGAATTCAGCAAATTTTGAGTTGATTAGGATGTTCAGTTTATCTGAAAAAACATTACAAAATATTTTTATCACTTCATTCAATTTCATGTGTTTACAATGGCAAAAATTTGATATATGGAGCAAGATCTCTTGTTGACACATACATGCCTAGTAATTTTAAAACAAAATTTCCAACTACTAGAGTTGTTATTGATTCTCTAGAATGCAAAATAAGCAAACCAAAAAATTCTGTTGCACAGCAAACTACATGGTCATCATATGAAAATGTCACATTAAAAAAGCAGCTATAGGTTGTACACCAGGTGGTTTAATAAGTTTTGTTTCAGAAGCATATGATGGTTCTGTAAGCAATCAACAGGTTGTAGAAAGATCTTCACTATGTAAAATAACAAAGGCAAAAGACTAATGGCTGATAGAGATTTTAATATTGACTTGCTAATTTCTAAAGATTTAGTATTAAATACACCTACTTTTATGAGAAGAAAAGCATGAATGAACAGCACTTTGTTATCTTGAGACAGAAAAATATCTAGTAAAAGAACATATATTGAACATATTGTAGGAATGGCCCGTACATACAAGATTTTGAGGCAACACTTGCCTCCAACAGTAACCAAACTTTAATTATATTTGTGTGTTTTATGTTATGCAATTTTAGACATTGCATTGTTGGTAGAAATTCTTCATTTGTTTCACTGATAGCCAAGCTATCTATTAATACTGTATATAAATATTTTCTTTTTTCCATTTTAGACCCCCTAGCCTCATTTGTTTTCCATTTGTAGTATTTTTAAATCTTTGTCTGCTTATAAATTCTAAGATTAAGAATGTATACTAGCATACACAGTAAGGTCTTCATTGGGGAACTTCAATTCAAAGCAATACAGTAATTTTAAAATTGTACTATAGTTGAATAAATGTTTGTAAATTTGCAAGTTAATAAAATAATTTTAATTTTTTAATTAAAACAATATCTCTTTATTATTTAAAAAACGCAAACTTTATACACCATCTAGAAAAATATCAAATAATCAAACTCAAATTGTAAAATAAAAATAACAATTAGCTCAGTTATTTTACAAACTTAATGTTTATAGAACAGATTTCTTTAAAGTCAGTTTGAAATTCTCATGGAAGAAGTTTTTCAATCATGTTTGCAATGAATTCATCTCTCAGAATGATACAAACTTTGAAGTCAGTTTTGGTATAAATGAACAAGTGAGCAACTTGTCTATTTTTCACTGCTAACTGTTCTTGAATTTGATAGAAATAATCATGATTCTTTTTTAGAATAATTCTGTAATCTACATATTTTCCATATTCACAGAAGTTTATAATTTGAATAAGAACATTTAACTTCTAAGACAATCATCATCCACTAGCCCATCTGGGCTTGCAGCTAAAAATGGGTATTTTGGACAAAGAAACATGCCACATACTTTCATAGCAGTATTTACAAAAGAAGAATATGCTGCAATTACTTCTTTTTCATATCTTAATCCATGAGATTTACTTTTTATTTAAGTCTTACTTTTTATTGGCCTTCTTAACAGTAATGAGGCACATGAATTCAGTTTACAAATATTTTCAAAGTTTGAAGATGACAAACATAACAAATGTTTCTTCTTCCAAATTGCATTTTTTCATTGTGATCGGGTCACTTTTTCTAAATGTTCGACATACTCCATACTTGGTTAAGTTATATGTCAAGTACTTAAACATTTCAGACATTGTGCTTTTACAATAATCATAATCAGACTCTAAAGTCCATATGTTTACCAATTCCCTTAATTGCAATATAGTACAATAGATCCCTCTATAACATGGTAGATATGTTTCATGTTTTATAAATTTCATGTTGTAAAAGTCACTTAAATAACAGCCTGGCACATATGCAGTTTAGGGACTATGGCTGTTTGAAAGGTTTTCTTCCATAAAAATAATCAATTCTAGACTAATTTGACTCAACATTTCCAAAACACACATAATTTTTTAGGAATAATCCATATAAACTATGCTGTAAACAAAAAATTGTAGAATTACTTACCGAGTGTGCACCGTTCGACGACACCATTGCTTAAGCTTGTTTTCGTCACGGAGCGGTGCATCAAATAGCACTCNCTGACATGACACTTTCAACAAAATAAATAATAAAAATAAAACAGCGATACAATACAAAAAAGCAGATATATTTACTGACTGTGTAAAATATTACCTTTCCGATGTTTATCGACAGATGACTTGGTATAAATAAAATTGTGCACGTGTAAAATTGTTATTAAAGTTTTATATGTAATTTTTATTTTATTTACTTTACAGGTAACACGCAAGTAATTTGGAAAATTTAATTACAAAAATCTTTCCAGGTGACGTCGGTAGATGGTGCGACGGTTCACTTGGAATCACGTAGCGTATATCCCACTGTTCGTAGGAGTCACTTTGAATCTGTTTTGTGCGACGAAAATGGAGAAGGAACGTGAACTGTCGCGAGACAATAGTGATTCAGAAAGTAAGTTTTGAAAGTATGTACCGAGTATGCACCTGCGTTCGACGACACCATTGCTTAATTAAGCTTCTTTTCGTCACAGAGCGGCGCATCGAACGGTGGGCGCGTGTTTCCTGATTAGCAAATTTATCGCAGAAAAATAACTTAACTTTGGAGACGATATTAATATAAATATAATTTTTATGGCCGTTAAATAATAAATGGTTTTTAGTAGGTCCGCTGCTCATTTAAACTCAACAGTTTGTGCAATATCCGCTATTGGTCTAGATTCGACCAATCCTGTCATGACACGAGTCTGTGATGACATTTTACTGTATTATACGAGTCTATTTTAGCATGTTTATACAAATACGATCACAATTTTTTTGCCGTTTTATACAAATCCGTATTATATGAACCTGTGTTACAGGGGATCTACTGTATTGCACAACCACTCTGCATGTTCATTGCCAAATTAACAACAAAGTTTGTATAATCAGGAATTGAACTACCAGGCAGTGTGGGATCAAATTTCACATCTTCCAATCATTTCCTTTTCATTTCTCTCTTCTTAAATATATGAAATGGATGTATACTAGCCTTAATTGAAGAACCTTTATGTTGATATGTAGGCTGGTGGAATGATTGGAGAACCTGTATGCATGTTTTGTGACACTAGAATGTGCCTGTTATTCTATATTCTTTTATTGCCAATAATGTTACACACATATATTTGCAATGTGCTTTAGGCACTTTATCTGCTGTACATTCATATATTGCATTTCTATATCCCCATCATCTGTAATTACTAAATCCATACAATGTGTTTCCCTTGGTTAATTCAGACTATACATAACATTAAAATATAAAAAGATTATTCTCTTTTGTTTCTCTTATTGTTTATAAAAATTTATTAAAATACATCTGTACAGCAGACAGTGGCATTCTTTGATCAGACATCTCCATAAAGGCATCAATTGTCAAAACTTGTACTTGTAAACTTGGAGAGATCCTTATATTCAGATAAATCAGAAAGTTTGAGTGCAGGAGAGTTGTCACAGGATTTAGAGAAATTAAGTGTTTCCTGATTCCTCACAAATGCCAGTAACCTGAAAATTATTGTAAACAAGTTTAATAACTAGTTAACATATGATCACCAGTATTTTATTTTTTTCTGTCTCATTGACAGAAAAGGCAAAAAAGTATTATATATTATTTTCTTGCCTTAANCAAATTGAATCAGCATAAAATGAACACATATTTACAGTGAGGTATAGAGTTAGATTCTACATAAGTGAACAATAAGCAACTAGTTTTGTTTATTAATACAATATAATAAAAACTAAATATAAATTTAATTTTTAAAACGTATTTTATCATAAAATGAAGTGAAATGTTTTTATTAAAAAATTTTAGTTTCGGATCTCGTACATTTTTCGGAAAAAAGGATCCATCTTTAATTGTTTACGTTTTTGTTTTCTTTCATTAAGAGTTTCGGAATATGGTCAAATGGATGCAATGATGCTCCTTTTTATATTTGCACTTCGCTCCCAATCATTGTCTAAACTCAAAGTTCATTCATCAGACTTTCCACAGTTGAAAGAATACGTTAACCTGACGTAGAGCTACAGACAAGTGGAAACACTTATTGGTCGACCACCGGTTGCCATAGTGCATATATA